TGGCAGCTGCCACTACCCTCGCCACCACTGCAGCCTCCGCCGCCGCCCCAACTTCCACCATAGCCGCAATTGTTCCCATCACTACTAGCCGTCCTAAAACCACTTGTTAGCTCGTTTTATGATGAGGAATACCTTTTACTGAAACTTCGATTTTCGATTTTTATTAAGATAGGTTCTGTGGCTTGACTTCTAGGAGAGTTTTGGCGAAAAATAGAGTGTAACACAGGATTGTATGGAATGGATAGAAATCGAATGGATTGAAAATGGATCTGGGATCAACAGAGTTCCAAGCTACGTTACAATACTCCTACGAAAGCTGTAAAGGACTTGAAAGTTAACTAAAGCTACAGGAAGCTGTAAATACAGGAAGTAAATATGCATAGGAAACTAAAGTGCAGATAAGCTTGAGTGTTTTTGCATTGTTGTTGGGGGTCCTTTCTTCCTCCTTTCTTCTGAGTATTTGTATCTCTTCTCATTCTGTAACTGCTCGTCGGTTACTTCTATGTTTTCAAACTTTGAATTTTGGCGCTTCCAATAACTGCCATTCGCTAAAACTTGATCTCAACCGCTGGGATGATTTCAAATCTAGACAAGTAACTCCCCACAATATGCTCCTGCTCACTATCCCCGCTTTTTTCTCATAACTTCCTGCTATCGTGACTTACATGGCTGGGCTGTGATTCATCTTTACCGATTTTCTATAATGTCGGTATATTCCCGAAGTGTAAACTTCCCGAATTTCGGGAAAAATTCAACATTATGAGGCACTAATATTCCAACGTCCCGAACTATAACTTTCCATGTTTCGGTAAGTATACCGATCTTCATCAATTACCGAATTCGGGATATGATGCCATTCCCGCTTGCTTCTCAGTATGTCAATCCAAACGTATTTCGGAAGATGGCTGATTTTCATTATACACCAGATTCGGCATTAAAGCCGACTCAGCATCTATGCCGATTCTCATTTTGGTGTCAACACCACCATGACCCAAGTAAAAGCCGCCAGCTCCAGTGAGATTGGCCTCTCTGCCGCTGCCACCACTACGCCTTCTTTATGCGAGGTTTGTGTCCACGTTTGCCGCATGCGAATATGACCATGGAGGTGAATGCAAGGAAAAATGCAATCACACAAAGTCATGTCCACTCCAATTGGCTTCCACGGCCTTTGGTAGTATCAACAAGAGGAAACACCTCTCTTGCCATTTTATTCTAATCTCTCTCGCGTGCGTACTTACAAAAATTTGCCCATTTGATCTTCTCAAATCAAAGTATTAACACCACTTACAATCTCTCGTAGAGAACTCGCTCAAAAAATTCACAAATAGGAAACCTCGATACTCCTTTTTTTCCTGTATTGCATGACTTGTGAAAATAGGCCAAAACAAAGTTTTAATTCCTGTGCTTTCGAGGCTGATGTGACACCTGGACGCGCGGAACATGTATAGAGACGGGAGGTTTATCTATGCCAATGGTCGAGCGCCCATTGACCCCAGCTGAGCGCCCGCCCGGTGCCTAGTAGCTACAAGTTACTAGGTGCTCATGGCCGGAAGACCAAGCCTTTGAAATTTTACAAGTGGGCCATTCAATTAATTAGTTAGGATGCGTTGGCAACCATTCTGTTCTTGGAAATAATTTCTATTCAGAAATAATTCTTTTTTATTTCGTGCCCGAGAATAATTTCTAAACATTTGAAAGTGTTTGGTAACTGCCCAAAATTTATATTCTTGGAATAGAAAAAAGAACATAAATGCGTTTAGTAATTGCACAAAATTTCTTTTTATTAATAATATTTTAATAATATTTTGATTTTTTTAATATTTCTTTCTTTTTATTTTTTTCTTCTTCTTCCTCTTCCTTGGCCATGGCCAAGGCTGACAAGGGTCCCCTTGCCGGCTCCGGCTAGGGCTGGACCCTCTTGCCACCACCCTCGCCATATCCGGCGAGGGCGGCTCGCGGATCTAGCGAAGGCTGGACCCTCGCCAGATTTGGCGAGGGCGGCTTGCGGCAGCCCTTGCCGGATTCGACGAGGGTAGTGGTGAGGGCGACCCTCGCCCAGGTCGCGAGCCGCCAGCCCTCGCCCTTGCCGGCCACTGGTGAGGGCCACGACACCCTCGCAGGCCTTGGCCTGTGGTTGGTCGCCGATCGCCAGCGGTCAGCGATCAGCCATAGGCTAGAAAGAAGAAGAAGCAGAAAACCAAGAAGAAGAAGAAGAAAAAAAATTTCTTTTCCATTTTTTATTCTTGTTCCCAGAATCAAGAAGCAACTTTTTTTTGCTTCTTGATTCTGTTCCAAAACTGATTCTGGGAATAAATTTTTGCAAATTTGTGCCTGAGAACAAAAAATTTATCCAACAGATTTCTGTTTCAAAACTGATTCTCGGAACAAAAGAGTAGAAATAGTTACTGTTTGGCCGGTTGCCAAACGCTCCCTAACTTGCTTACTTAATAACAATTTTACCATTATCAAATATAAGATATAAAAGGATTAATATCATGAAAAATCTCAAATTAATACGTTTGTAATAAATTTACCCCAAACAATTTTTTGACCACAAAAAATCTCAAACTGATATATTTGTGACAAATTTACTCTTCTTTAGTTTCCGTTAAATTGGAATGAAAATCCAATAATTTGGTATACATGTGACAAACGGAGGGTAAAACCCAAATTAGTACACCTGTCATCCAACTCAGCAATTTGATGGTAAAATTTAACGTAAATCGACGGAGGGTAAATTTGTCACAGGTGTACCGGTGTGAGGTTTTTGGTGGTCAAAAAATTAGCTTGGAGTAAATTTGTTACATGTATACCAGTTTGGGGTTTTTGGTGGTATTAACCCTATCTAAAAATAGATTCCCGCCAAGTAGTTAGTAACTTATTAGTGAAATAATAGTTATATCACCGATACCCAGTAATAAATTTCCCAATACTTAAAAATTTTACAAGTGTGTCCAAGCGGTAAACTTCTAGGCTGCATTTGGTCATCTAGATTTCTGGTCAGGATAGGACCGGATAGGATGGGATATGAAATCCATAGATTTTGCTATATCCTATCCGATGCTTGGTGAATCACAGTAATAAAGCCGGATATTTTCACATCTTATCATATCCATTGTTTACTATGAACCACATATCAATGTAAAAAAACTAAAAATTGCACAAACAAAAATGGTAAGAATCTCTCACGATACTCTTGCCTACTTCATTTTTATTTGCTCGCTTTTTTTCCCTCTCTTTTTTTATTTCTTTTTTCCTCTTCCATCATTCTTTAGTAAAATTTTATTAAATAGTAAACTATACAAATATACCTAAAATATGTAATAAATATAAATACTAAATATATATATATGTATTTATATACCTATGGAATTATATCATAAGATAGAAAGAAATTTGAATGTATAAATAAAAATAGAAATAAATAAAAACGAAATCGTTGTTATTTTTTGTTATTTTGAATTTTTTATTATTATAATTCAAATATTATTTATACTCAAATATTATTTTAATTTTATTAATTTAACAAGTTTGTTATTCGAGAAAAATAACTTTTATATTATGGATTTTAGAAATCCTATCAATCTTTATCCCATCTCCCCCATGGGATAATTTTATCCGGGTTATATCCCTCTTATATTCGACTTTATCCAGTCTTGGGCAGGCACCAAACACATGTTAGGATAAATTTTATCATATCCTGAATTTTATCCTGACTACCAAATGTAGCCCTAGAGGAGTTATTAATTTACTATTCCACTTGAAAATGATAAATTCCTCATTCTGTTGGTAACTTATTACTAAGCTCAAAGCGGGCTACGTCGGCAAGTTGTTTCTTTCACTAGTAATTTGTTAATTTCACTGGTAAGGTTTTGTTTTCCACGGGAACTTCTTAAATAGGCTGATAACCGATAAATTTCACCCTTATGATACTAAAAGCGAGCATACTGCGGTGAGTAACCAATTTACTTGTTATTGCTGAATTCAATGATGGAGCTTCACAACTTAATATAGAATTTGGCGTCGGTAAATTCCTCAAATAGTGGTCCTGCAGTGAAACTACTATCTTTATAATTCTACTGTGGCTTTACAGACCCCCAACAAAAGAAAAAATCTACTGTGGCTTTCGTGCCTAAAGAACATATAAATTCAGGTTCAATTCAAGACTTTCCGCCGCTGCCTCCGCTGCTGCCGTCTCTGCCGCCATGGTGTCCACCTCCACCACCATGACCACCTCCTCCATGATGGTCTACGTGGTGGTGGCTGACGTGGCCTCCGATGTGGCCTCCGTGATGGCCTGCGTGGTGGCCTACGTGGCCTCCATGGTGGTGGCCCCATGGTGGCCTACGTGGTGGTGGCCTCCGATGTGGCCTCCGTGGTGACCTCCATGATGACCGCCGCCGTGGCCTCCATTGCCGCCGCCGCTGCCGTCATTGCCTCCGTCTCCACCTCCGTCTCTATCTCCATCTCCGCCTCCACCTCCGTCGCCGCCATCATCACCTCCATCTCCGCCTCCGCCTTCGGGGTCTCTCTTTTTCTTTTTGCGGCTAGTGCCGGACGAGTTCTTGCCGCAGGAATATTAGAATTCTCAATGATGATTATCATGATCATGATATCGCTCACTCTTCCGAACAGAACCGTGAGATTTCTTGACCTGAATCATAAACTTATCCAGTTCTTGAACAGAATCATCCCATAATGAAATACTCCCAATGTCGCTTATCACATTAACTATTTATGTAACAGATGTCTTTTAAGCAACATGGTACGTCTAAACTTGAAAGTGCCCTCCTAGGATCATATGCTGCATCATGACATCATTGAATCGACAGGAGTTGAATTCTCTGCACACATCATTCCGTCTCCTTCAAGAGATTTCTGCCTTGACATGATTGAGAAGAAATTGAATTTTGGGGCGACATCACATCAAAAAGGCACTGAAGGTACGATTGAAATGAACGACTTCCCTTGCTGATTAACGACATACAAGTACATAAAAGTAGCGAAATCATCCGTTTATTACAACCAGAGAACAGTGATTGCAATCCCCTTTACAAGGAAAAACAGAATGATGGTACCAATTGGTATACAGAAAGAATGATCTTTACAGGATGACAATGGGATGCATTTCGTAGTTATATTGTAAGAAGAGGGTAATTCTATTTACAGTTCCACGTAATATGCTCAACACTCAACAGACCAGGTATAGCAGAGCACCGGCGACAATGAGGCGGGGCGGAAGTCTTTTCCCTTTTCCAGATCGAAGAACTTTGGGAAAAAGTGAAAAAAAATTGTGTTCAGTTCATTGCAGGAATGCACAATTCCACATCCTTCAAAATTGGATCAGCTCTCTTCAGGTTTCTGGGATTGGCGGCAGTAGTTCCTGATGAACAAAAAGTAGAATGAGCATTTATCGCAGTGGGAAGATATAGCGATGATGACGAGAGAAGTTACAGAATTACCTCAGAGAACCGCAGATGGCCGTGGTGCACATTGGAAGATTTGACAATTGTTTCCCACTTGGGATCAACAGGAGCTGACTCTGAAGCATGGTTCCCATTAACAACATTTACGCCAGGAGAGGATCGTGAAGATGGCTTCTTGGAGGAAGCAGAGGACAAGGTTCGCGATAACCATGAGTCTGATGGAGATTTTGGTAAAGGAGGGGGAAGTGGCAAGGGTGAATAGGCACTGGAATGATTCTGCTGATCACCTAATCTCATAAGTGCCTCGCTTTCTAAATCAATTTTACCATCTCTGCTGACTTTTGAGCTTGTCTTTATTCTGCTCGCTTGAGTAAGAGTTTGATTGTGTCTAATCGAGTCGACATCTACATCCTCATTCGATCTGTCAGAAGCAGAGAGTAAGGGGGAGTCCGTGAAATGCAAACCTTCAAGTTCAGATATTGTCTTTTTCTCTGGGTGCTCAATGTTCTCAATATCCAGAGAAGGAGAGTCCACTAGAATAGCTTCCTCAACTTTCTTGCCGGTAGCCTGGATCTCGAAAACATAATCCTCAGAATGGGATGGCTCCTTCCCATCTGAGGGACTTGTATGACCTTGAGATTTTACAACCTGCACAGTATCGACGTATACAGTTTTTTCAATTACAGGGCTTGTATTGCCTGCCTCAAATTCTGCACGCTCACTATCTAATAATTCTCGAAGATTGATGAATCGCTTTCCTTGGGAATTGGAGCCATCAACCTTGAAATTCTTAACATTCTCATGAAGACTGACTGATCTTTCCTCCCCTTGAGTGACTGATTTAGAAAATCCGTTCTGGTGCTTAATTTTGCCATTGCCTTGCAAGCGTCTGTATAGTGATGACCCCTCTAATTTCTTGTCATCGTTTTTGCGTGTAGTTTGGCTCTGTGTGCTTTTGAGATCACACTTATTTTCATGCAGCTCCGCTTTTAGCCGGCCACCAACTGATCTTTGCTCATCAAAAGCATTTTTATTGTGCTATAAAAAAGCAAGAAGAAATACTTTAGCAATTATCTTTAACAGCTGATTAAGAAAGACAGAGAACATAACTGACAACTAACTTTAAGAAAACCAAAACACATAAAAACTATGTACCTTACTCCTGCTTTCACCTTGATATCTCGCATATGTAGAATTAAGTTGAGTTTTGTGCACAGTAAGCCCCACAGTTTGCATCCTCATACCAGGTACTGGATTTAACAGGCAAAACCGAGGGAATAATCCACAAATTTTAGTTGTTGAGGTTTCACTTTCGTAGTAATCATCAACTTCGCTTTCTTCTCTGACTCCGACATGGGTCATCGGTAGAACATTTGGTTTAAGTACCTCAAGCTGACGGTTCTCACCCCCAACCACTGCCTTCTTTACTGGATGCCTCGGCAGATCCTGTGCCACAGATTGCTTCCGGATGAAATGCAGAGGCGCTTCTGAAGCCATTGCCTTTGCTGCGGGCAAAAAACGACCCATCATGAAGTCCCTGGCTGGTGGATCTCTAGAGAACCTTCCAGATAGTCTCATATCTAAACCATCCACTCCACTCAAACCACTGACACTGCAGTTCAAGAAGAATGACTCAGATCGCGAAAATGTATCCAGTGCATCTAAGTAAGCTTCATCACCATAATCTGAACCAGCGAACCCTTTTTCCTCTGTGGTCTCCTTTTTCTTAGCACCTTCATCGTTTGAATGTGCATTTTCAGAATTTAAAACAATATTTCTCGTTTGAGTACGTACACTCCTAACACCATTGGAGGTTTTTTCAGAATCCTGCTGTTTAACTCTTGCAATCCTCCCAGGTGGAGGTTTCGGGGCAGCAGGAGGGCATTCAGGAGTCTGACTCCGCGATAGGGATTCATTCTTTGGTCTTCCTGGACACTGTTCCCATACAAATGGAACAGTTCCTGGATTCCTTACCGGACCTGATTTTAGCTCTGATTTGTAACGAGGAAGAGGAGGTATTGTGGGCAGTGACTTATCAGTCCTCCTTTTGTCCTGGCCCTCTGCAGAGTTTACTGTGGGTGAGAAGCGCCTCACCGTAAGGAATGGCTGATTGAAATTTAGTCGTGTGTCTTCCATTATATTATCTAATGACGTATATATGTTCCTGCAGAGTATTACCACAGAAAAAGATCCAGTAAGATGAATATTCTCATGAAATCATAGGCATAAGTGGTCTCACAGAGTAAATTCGACTCAACATAAACTGTAGTTTTTATGTGAAATAAACGCAAATTTGTGCATCTGTGCAAATGCACGCCAATTATGGTTTTTCGCGTTGGCATGTTTCTGACATTGATTGGTTGGCTCTTCCAAATGAGTTATATATTTTATGCTTTCTAGCTTCTCGCAGATCTTAGATTATATCAGTTACCAAGCATCAATATCTCATGAAAATTATACATAGTTCTGGCAAAAATAAAAGACAACTTCATTCTTTGTCCTGGAGCATCTAAGACCAATATCTATATCATCGTTTCTTCATTTTTACTTTTACCAGAGGAAATTGCCATCTTAAGGTTCCCACCAAAATAAACAAGTTTACTCTCCCAAACTCCAGTGAATTTCGAGTTCACCATTTTGTTTCCCAACTACTTTATAACAAGAACTTGCATTAGAAGTTTTAAGACCTGTAACAATAAATTATAGATGAAAAGAAGTTTCAAGACCCAAAAGAAACTGGGGCATCTCTCCACTTTCCTAAGAAACCAAGGTCCCTAAACCCAGGGCCAGAACTTTCACAATTACGAATTCCCTCTAAACCTCGTTTAACTGCAACCAAAGCTCAACAAAAAGACAGATAAGAGAATACAGGAATTTTTGCCTATTTGGGTTGATTGGTATCGACAATGCAGATGTTAATGGAACAGTTGACCAGGTCTAGCAGGGCGGTTTGGATTCGGATTGCTTCTGTTTAGGAGTCCAAATTTCTTCTCTCATTTTTTAAAATACTGTATTCCAAAATGTAAGGCCATGGGGGAATGCAATGCAAGGACCCTATTGAATTTTATCGTCTGTTTGCCAATTGAAGACTAATTTTACGCTTCAAATGACAGAAACAACAGCATCTGCGCCGCTCGATTACCGAAATAGCCAGCAAGAACCTATTATATCGAAATAAAAATAGCTTCCCTGAAGCTACGGAAACCACAAAAAAAGAAAGAAAGAAACAAGGAAAAAAGGAAAACCATAGCAGAACACAGAGAGAAACAACAAAGCTCTAAACCCGTTTGATTTGAAAACGACAAAAGAACACGCGTTAGGCCCCCTAAACTACGCATCGCAATTTCGGCCCACGAGGAGGAATGAGGAGAAATTTGAGATGCAACATCAAAGGCCGTCGAGTCGACTATACACACAATACCCAGAAACTTTGGTTGCTCAGCTTGCAAGATCATCATCATCAACATGCAATATTCCAAATAAAAATCTCAAGAAAAGGAACACAAACACAACCCCTTCACAGAAAGAAGGCGGAGGGAAAGTACAAAATCCGGAGAAGGGTCTCCGCATTCGCTCGCTCACGCTCATCGCCGACAAGAAAACCACGCAAAACGCAGAGCCTGCGACTGCCAAGGCACGAGCACTCGCGTACGCACATGCATCCACGAATGTACGACTAAACAAGCGAGGGCAGAGAGAGAGAGAGAGAGAGAGAGAGAGAGAGAGAGAGAGAGGGTAAGAGGGTATTACCTCAAGAGAGAAGCAGGGAAGCAGCGACTCTGTTTCTTGAAGAAGCGAGCCAATTGATGATGACGAGCTGTAAAAGCAGAGAGAGAGAGAGAGATAGAGAGAGAATCGATACCTAATCATGCACTTGAATGAATATGAAATGAATGAGAGAGAGAGAGAGAAAACAGAGGAATAAACCAGAGTCTGGCTTTGTACGCTTGTGTTTACTTCGTTGCTGGGGTTGATGAACTCATCGTACCCGCCCGCCAACGCAAAATTAATAAAAAGCATCTTTTCCCCCCCTTATCATCCCAAAAAGCTTCATCTTTTCTCTCTCTCTCTCTCTATAGATCTGTAGTATCTTTTTATCCGGAATTGACCTCTATTTGCGTGCCTTACAATACCTGAGAAAATGAAGCCAGTTGCCCACGTCAGATCGCCGGAGCGTCGCGTAGAGCAGCCGGCGATGGCCGGATCGCCACGCCACGTCAGCAATTTCAAGTGAGCCTTAGACAGGAGGACCACGTTTGAAAATCTCCTCGAGTATTTGGGATTACATTGAAATAGCCGAAAGGTTTAGTTATGAATCGGAATCCGAATAATAAATTCAGGACTGAAACAATGATTTTCCCAAGCTAAGAATACGGAGTTGTCAATTTCGAACTATAAATTTGACTAAAACGTTACTAATTCTGCCTCCCCGAAAGAAATGTTTAGCCACTTAACAAGTAGATTTTGCATTTATTTAGTGTTAGCCAAAAAAAAAATCCACAAACAAAAACTATCGACACGTGTCTTGACACGTTGCATTTGAAATGATAGCTTATATCGCTTATAAAAAACGAATGAATGAAAAATATTTTCATCGCCGAGATATAAATTGTTGTCAATAATAAAAATATTTTTCATTGATTAATTATTTCAAGCGATATAAATAATTAATTTTAGGAAAATATTGTCAAAATTATTCATTTTCCGCTAAACACACGAAGCCGAAGGGCAGGTGGTCATATTTATTTTTACGTTATTTTCTTGCCTAGCAAGATAGATATAAAAGTTACATGATAATTCATAGAATATAGTATTTACTCACGAAAATTAAGTTATACTAAACACAAGAGGCGGCAGCCCCCTTCAACCCCTCAGTACATCATTGATTAAATTTATCGAATTATGACATATTTAAACGGTGGCGGCACCAAATTATTGATGCTTAAATAAGCACCATACAAAATATATAAATCGATGCAAAAAAGGGCTTGGTGATGGGGGGTGTGGGGGCCTTGAAATATCGGTATGTAAAGATGAAACAGTACGAGGCGAGTGGGGAGCTTTTCTTTAATCGAGGGACACTTGAAGCTGTTTTTGGGGGAGCATGTGAGCGACAATTGTAAAGAGACGGCCGCTGCCGTCGCCATCACATACGTGACATCTCTCGTGTGTAAAAGTTGGACTCATCGTCGCCCATGCACCCTTTTGCTTTTTTCCTCCAATTATTGAACGTGGAAGCATACGTATACATGTGTGTCCATGAGTATATATAGTCAACTACATCCAAGAGAGTTCGTGTAGAAAACTAGTGCTGATCGAGTCAAAGTGACCAGCCAGTCGACTAAGAGTCGTGTTGGCCAGCCCATAGGAAGTGCGGCATGACAAAACTTAAGATGGTTTTGCCTTTATCTTTAGGAAAAAAGAAGAAGAAGAAGAATTTTCTGTCTATTTATAATGTCAAACCCTTTTTTTCAATTATAAAGTGTGCGAATCAACTTTGAAGTTAGGTGCTTATACAGTACGGCGCACGGAATTTTGAACGGTGGCAATTTGCCCATTTTGTGCACTCACTGAGGAAACGTTGGAGCTTGCACCCGACGCGTGCTCCTGGTGATCAATTCTTTCGTTCGGTAATCTGAAATTTGTAAGACTATATTGCAAAAATTCAATTTCAAGTCTTGATGTGATAGACTATAATCGAATATTTAAAAAAAAAAATGAACCATGAATAAGGCATTGCTACTTCGCTACGCAATCAACTTAGTATTTCTAGTACCGTTACTCTTCTTTTCAAATATGACAAAGTTTTGCACATGGTTTATGGTTCCAAGTGAACGAGGTCCATATGCAATTTCTTCTCGTATTGGGATTCTCTAAAGTCCGTTTTCTCTATAATTAATTACGTAAAGTTGCCTCCTTAAAATTTGAAGATATTAGTAACAAGCAAAACTTAGGCCTTTTCGGAGCTGGTCACTGCTTTATTGCCTCAACCGTGTGTTAGGAACGGGATTTTCAAGGGGGGAAAAACAAGAGCAGACAATTTGTAACATTTCCACAGTGTCCAATACAGGCAATATTCGAAACCCCCAAAAAACAATACAGGCAATAAATAAATAAATAAATGAATAACGTGACTAGCGTACAAGATGTACAACACAAGATGATGTGACGTGCTTTGACGGTATTCGATACTTTATAATATTGTACCGCAAAAAACGTGAGATTTCTTAGTTGATTCGTTATTTGGGATCAAGTCACAAGGCAACGATTCTTTGTGAATTCCTTAACCCTGACGTGGGTGATTTGCCTTCAACTAGATTGACGACGGGGATTTAACCTAAATGTGTGAAAGTCGACGCACCGTATCACGTGATGATTATGCTAAAAAAATAAGATATTCGATTTCAATTCATTCTTAAATCGATCAATTATATTCTAGATACTGGAAATTACAAGTGGCCAAAACTAACAATATGTTTGATAGAGCCGATTGAGAGGGAAGAGAAAACGATTTTAAACAATTTTTCTTTTTTCCCATTTATGTCCTTCTTTTTTAAAAAATAAACAGATAAATGAAAAGGACATTATGTATAATTTATATTCAATTATCTCGGTAGCATCCAAACAACGTCACAATTTAATCCCTTAAATTCCTTCTTTTGCTGACCCACATTATTAATTTTTTATGATTAAGCTCGCTAGTGATGTTTCCAATGATTAAGCTCCAAACATGGAAAGTATTGTATAAATCTGGGAATATTGAGTACATTTGTCACTTGAAATCCATTGTGAAACCATTTTCCACTTATGGTGCCATGAATGATATGATATGCGGATCTCGTAATCGATTACTTCCTATAGAATCGTGCATGTACACAAATTGTCATATCTACGCACCTCGGGTTCTGAATAATGGCAGGCGAAGCTCTTGACATTACTTTGAGCGATGGATGATTTGAACGTGAGATCCCACTCGTTCGAAATAAGTGCTTGTTCAATTACTGCACCACTAGGGGGTTCATTTGGATCACACCTTTGTTGAGGAGTACACCGCACACACATTGGTTCAAAACTAATAGTTCATTGATATGAATTTTCTCAATCTCGTTGTCTTGAATTAAAGGTCCAACACACAAAACTCTCACTTAGTAATTAATTTACCCCGAAAAGGAACCTCGCTTCTACATCAAACATACCTTTTATAGGTAACAATAAAATTGAAGACCCATTTTGGTCAATGTGGATGGCCGCAGATCCTCTACCTCGTGGGTGCTCTTCTGGATACATCAATACATCTTAACTGTTGACTCGTAAAAATGAAATTTTAATCATCGATAGATCACCTCGCGGGACAAATGATCTTCCCCTTACGAAGATCCGACCAACTCTGTAGGTTCCCCAAATGTCCTAGCCCTCAAAATAACTTATCCGAGTGGGCATATATTTTACTTATCCTTCTCAAAATACCTAAGATCCGACCAACCCTATAGGTCCCCCAAACATCCTATCCCTCGGATTAACTTATCCAAGAGGGCATATATTTTACTCATCCTTCTCAAAATAACTAAGATCTGAAGCGCGCGAGGAGGACTCAATAATTTTATCACCTTCCACACTCTAAATTAACACACAAGTTGAGGTTGCCCACCTACCTAACTCCTATTAAACAAATGGAACGAGACAAGACACCAAATGAATTTACTAAACTGGGGGCTCTGTCTGCTCTCGTGGGATCACATTGACTCCCACGTAATCACGTGAATAGATCAGTTCAGGGGGGGAGGGGCACTTGCAGCCTCATCTGTACCGCTGCCACCGCCAAGTCCAAAGGTCAAAACAAATCTCAAAATTTCGAGACTTTTTGAATGCTGTCTCCGTCTTCCAAGTTACTAGAAATCGCGTTCAATTATTATTGTCACAAGCTTTTAGGGACGGGACATCTCCACCTGGGGGGTCAATGTCGTGTCGGTGGTGGCACTGTCCGAGGCTGCGGAGTTCACTTACAGCGACGCAAAACCAGGAGTCATCGTCACGCTCTGCATGTTCAATTCATTATCTATTTGCATACGCGTTTTCCTGGACAAGTGAGCTTACGAGTAAAAACGAGGATCTCAGTACTTTTTAAAGATCTTAAGTCTTTTTCCTTTCTATTTAGAGAAAATTATCCAAAAAGTTCTACACCGTTTTGCCAATTCAGTCGTAAGCCTTTCGATTTTAAACATTTTTCACGTTTTGCCAATTGAAGTCATTCGGCAAATTTTGACTAGAAAATTGTTGACATAGACATCAGCTGTCTTGTGTGGCACGGCTAGCGGCTGGTGGCAGGCGCTGAAATTGACAAATTTTAATAAATATTTTAATATTTTTTGAATTTATTTATTTATTTTTCCTTTCTTTGTTTTCTTTTTCTTCTTTCTTTTCCCCTTCGCCGGCGCCCTTGCCAGATCGGGCGAGGGACGCTCGGGCCTGGGCTAGCTAACGTCGCCCTCACTGGCCCGGCAAGGCTGCCCAAAGGCTAGGCGAGAGCGACCCTCGCTCAAGGGTGGCCCTTGCTTGAGGCCGGCGATCTCTACCGACCATCGACGAGGCCCGGTGATGGTTGACGGAGGAAAAAAGGGAAAATGAAAAAAAAGAAAAGAAGAGAAAAAGGGAAAAAAAAAAAGAAAAGAAGGAAAAGAGAAGAAAAGAAAAAAAGGAAAAAAATAATTCGAAAGTGAATATTATTAAAATTTGTCCACGTCAACCTGGCAGTGTCACATAGGAAGGTTGACGTCAATGTCAGTGATTTCCAGCTAAAATTAGCCGGATGGGCTCAATTGGCAAAATCTGAAAATATTTAAGATTCAATTGGCAAAATTGATAGGTTTATAAACGAATTAGTAAAAGTGCAATAAGTTTAGGATTTTTTGGACAATTTTTTCTTCTTTTTAAAATACTTATTTTGTGAAATTATACCTCCAAAGAAATATGTAACTTAATAATTATATTGCATTCTTTACATATTCGAATATCTTCGATTCAGTAGCGACATTTTCAAGAAACATCAAATTTCGAGATATATTTATCTTTTTCCATATACAATTATTTTGGACAACGTAGGTTTACCAATAAATTTCTTCTATACTAGATATTCAAATTTTTTTAATAAGACAGTAGGGCTTCACATGTGTAGGACCAAGGAGGCGTTAAAACCAAGATGAACCCATGTCTACATCCATAATCAATGAATTTCCTTTTTAAATTTGATAAAAAGGGATTGGAGATGGACATGTTGTCGTATACAAAATTTCTTGAAAAGATTTTTCTACATAATAAAGCGAAGGTAGTCCATTAGATTATCTGATCGCTATTAATTCGCTAATGACTTGTTACATTTCCATTCAAATTAGCTGTACACACCTACATCTACATACATACATATATATGTATATATACGATAAACCACACAAGTTTTCATATTTCTAACAACTGACTTTTTTTTGAAATTTTTGGTGAGTTTTGCCTCTCTTGCCGCTTTTTTTTTTCTCCCATAAACATTGTTCTTACAATTTAGCGAGGAAATGCAGTACAACTAGTTTATCTACAACATCTGAATCGAAAGAAGAAGAAGAAGAAGAAGAAGAAGAAGATGATGATGATTTAATGTCCTATGATTTCCCATGATTTCCCAATCAAAGGAACTTAGGCCGTTCAATGATATTGCAATTTACACATGTCTGGACCAGGGCCAGAGGCCTAAACCTTGCAATTCCAAGAGGCCCGGACAGTGGATGAGAAGTGGATTTTCTATTGGTGAATATCAGTCCCACATCGACCGAAACAAGATCTATAGATCATCCGACAGACCATGAAATGTGGTTGGCTAATCAAGGTCAAAGTCATGCAGCTGCGCTGTGTGCACAGAGCGAACTATTCTTTCGGCTTTTACTAAAGAATACCGTGTGCACGCCGCATTTAATTGCATATGCCACTTTTTGGAAGGCTCAGCCTTTACAGGCTTTGAGAACCATTCTAAGTGTCAAGCATTTCCCGAGGTGGCCTCTCTGTGTAGAGGCTTTGAGCTCCAAGGTTCATCATTTGTATCAATCTGGACTGGATGTGTGTAACATGCTTCGTGCTCCATTTGCACAGATGGGCCCACCGATATCCAGTTACTTGGGCCGAAATTTACCGAATGAGATCTGTTAATCCTTATTGAAGTGGATTCAAGAGGTGCTACTCCAAGCAATTTGGGTGCCAGGAGTCTTCAGCAAGGACAAACAACAACAACCAAATGCACATATGGCTTCAACTGATGGAAGAATCATCAGAAGCTTACTGCGATTCTTTTGAGCTACTCTTATCAGTTAAGCAATAATGCATGCAATGAGCCTCTTTTAAGTTGGTTGCGAAAAACAAAAGTTCACCCCTTTTCTTTTCTGGGTTACAAGGACGAGTTCACCATTTGAGCACAATCCATACACTTCATATCAGATGATATTGTCAAAGTGATCTGTTCATTGGGCCAGGGGCTTAACTTGCCTCCTGCAAAGAGAACCCAGTTTCATCGGTGTTTGACCATGAACAGTTTCCTCACAAGATTTCAATATTGTGACTTTAGAAAATACAAACATAAGTACATAGATTTGATATGTGACATGGTTCTCAAGCTTCACCTGACAAGACTTATAGGACTTATGACGTCATGACAATCACAATGGGATCCCAAAGTATGTAAGATATGGAGTTTGACAGTGACAAAAAATGCATACTGCTTTGTGCGGATAAATATCCTAACAATGAATGCTACGTAGAGATATAAGAGATGAATCAGGATGAAAAACTTAATAGATGAAAATAAAAAGAGTTAAAACTGCGAAAAACCTTAAACTGATACGCCTATGATAATTTTACCAAAAACTAATTTTTTGACCACCAAAAACCCCAAACTGGTACACCTGTAACAAATTTACCCTAATTTATTTTCATTAAATTTTACTGTCAAATTGCTTTGTTAAATGATACGCAGCAATTGATGGATGTACCAATTTTATGTTTTACCCTTCGTTTGTCATAGGCGTACCAGTTTATGATTTTTTGTGGTATTAATTCAATTTAATGGAAACTAACGGAGGGTAAATATGTCATAAATATACCAGTTCATAGTTTTTGGTGTTCAAAAAATCAGTTTTGGGTAAATTTGTCATAGGTGTACCAGTTTGGGGTTTTTCATGGTCAAAAAATTAGTTTGACGTAAAATTGTCATAGGTGTACCAATTTGAGGTTTTTTTTATATTAACCCAAATAAAAAACCAGAAGATACCCACCCATGGGTAGCTCAGTTGGTTAGGGCGTACTTGGGATTGTGTGGTTAGGCGCACTGGTCTCAGGTTCGATTCCCCAGCTGAGTACTTGTGATTTAAGTGGGGGGCTATGGCGGTGGGTTGCTGTGCTAGTCTCTCCCAATGAATAGTCGAGGTGCGCGCAAGCTGGCCCGGACACCTCGGTTACCAAAAAAAAAAAAAACCAGAAGATCTGATGGGAAGACGTCAGCCTCCTGCTCATTGCAACCTTCTTTAGCTAAGTTTCACTTGAATTTGGTGTTGGAATCCGAAATTTCTCTTAGCTGAGGGCCGAGTTTCTGTCACTTATCCTCCGAGCGAACCATGTGAGGAAAGATGTGATCGAAAACGAGATCCACGCAGGACAAACAAAGAGTGCACATCACATATAAAAGGAAACTATTCCACGTCGGCTGGTGAAACTTTGTTGTCATCACCAAATACCTTACGGTTGGTTCTTTTACTAGTAACCATTTGAAATTTTCAGGTCAGGTTGCTCATAGGCTAATCAAATTTCATTGGTAAATTACTTGAATCCGGCTATCTTATGATTGAATTCGACTAGTTAGAGTGGTTAATTAAGTCGAGGTGCTATAGTTGAGTAGCTTGCAATTCTATAGTTGAATTTTTTATTCATCTAGTTACCTGTATTAAAATGGAATATTATAAAGAGTATGTGACACTGAAAGTCTTGCGCACTAAATGTTTCAAATGTACAACGATCCTTGGCACCAGGGCAGCCCAAATGGCTGTCTCTAGCAGACACAAACTTTGGACCAGGAACAGAGGCCAAAGCCTTTGCAGTACAATGTGGCCCACCTACGTATGAGAAGTGGTTTTCCATTTCCATAGGTGAGTTTTAATTCCCACAACGGTTGAAGCAAGAAATGGAGATAATCTTACAGGTTATGGAACGTGGTTATCTAATATTTGTTTGATCATGCATCTGCGTGGTGTGCACAGAGTGAACCATTTTTTCGCCTTTTGCTAAAGAATACCGCTTTTTGGATGACCATTGCCTCTACGGGCCTGAGCCTCTACCAACTTTCAAGTGTCAACCGTTTCTAATGGGAGGGATGGCTCATATAAATCATGTTTAAACAAGTGGGCAAAGATTTTGCATTTCTTTGTTTCAACAGTTCATCTAAATTCATTTGGAACACACACATAAGCTGAATAGATGACCAACTCCTTCACTGGATCTTCTGCTGCAAGAGGATGGAGAAATCTGGGTATCAAATGGTTTGGAGCTACAAGTCTGGAAAGCATGATGCAGATCCTAGACCAGTCAGTCCATCAGCGACATTAACTGTTCCGTCTTTATATTTCGAGTGGCTACAAAGATTACTGTAATTTATCAGCCAAAGAGGTACATAGCTGTAACTGTAGAAACTCAAAGGGCGGATGAATTGGGGCTACATCATGCCCATAAATTATCAAAGAAAGGACATGGTGCTTTGTTTTATGCTTCTCTCTCATCACTTCCTACAAGTTGCAAGAAAATTCTTGGGATTGGAGGCTTTTCTACTGCCATAACCCCCTCCAAAATCTGAACTACCTGAGACATAGTTGGTCTATCTTTCTCGCTGTCTTGAATGCACCAGCAAGCCACTTTGCATGCTCTGCATAATTCTTCCGTCTCCACGAGTCCTTTCAAACTGCGGTCCACAAGTGGCAAGACTTCTTCTCCTTTGGCTATTGAATTAGCTACCTGTAGAGGTAGATAATCACGCATATCACTATTCAGCTCCTCAATGTTTCTCTTGCCAGAAATGATCTCAAAGAGCAGCTTTCCATAGCTGAAAACGTCGACTTTCGATGTGATGGCTCCTCCGGAAATCCATTCTGGTGCGAGGTACCCTCTGGTTCCCCTCATGGTGGTAATTACGTGGCTGACATCCCGTCCCATGAGCTTCGCGAGGCCGAAATCAGCAATCTGTGGTGCGAGTTCTGAATCCAACAGTATATTCTCTGGCTTGATGTCACAGTGTATGATGCGATCTCGACACCTCTCATGGAGGTACTCCAATCCTTTAGCAATCCCGATGGCAATGTGGTATCTGGTTTTCCAATCGAGGGTGTTGGAACCTTTCTGAAACAAATGAGCTGCAAGTGAACCATTTGCAAGGTACTCGTAAACTAGGAACCTTTTCGACTCTTCTGCACAAAAACCGCGCAGTCGAACCACATTGACGTGCTGTATTGTTCCGATAGTTCTAACTTCTGCAAGGAACTGTTTGTTACTTCGGTTTGGGTTGGCAAGTTTCTTCACTGCTATAGGAGTTGAGTCTGGCAGTGCTCCCCGGAAAACAGAACTAAACCCGCCTTCCCCAATTTTCTCAGAGAAGTTCTTTGTCGCCTTCTTCAGAACTCGATATTCAAAACGCATCAAATGGTCGACAGCTGCACAAGCAGACCGTCTTGTCCTAATAATCACATGCAACACGCTAAGGACCACAAGAAAAACTACGGACACAACTACAGCTGCTGTTATGAAATTCGAACTGGGTTTTCTCTTTTTCTTACGCTCCTCCTTCAAGTCCGAGGCGGCGATCCGGACATAGAAATCTCTCAAATTTCCATCATCAGCCAGACGTTGAACCAAAAACTTCTCATCCGTCCATATCTGACAGTTAGCAGTGTAAGCATATGCACTGCACGAACAGTTGCTCAAGCACAATAAACAGCATGCTTTGATGTTTTCTACCATGAACGAATCAGAATTTTTCGGCAAGCGTGTGTTAGGCATGAGGAAAAAATTATCTTTCCTGTCATCACTACATTCCGACACAGATCTCCTTTTGCATCGGCCCAGACGATCTTCCAGCTTCAGATGATCTAAGTGTCCAAGAGCGCAATCACAAAGCGGTGCATCACTCTGATTGCAGTTAGAAGAAGCACCACAAAAGGGGTAAATCTCACACTTTTGTGTTGGGTGTACCCAAAGCACTTTCCATTCCTGCATATGCTTTGCCCATACTAATTGCTTGAGCAGCCCCGTCGGTTCGAGCACAATCCTAGAAAGATTATAAGGAGTAACTGAGGAATATTTGGAGTAGGTCTCATTCTCATTCGAAACAAAGGTGAAGTTTATCACGTTGTCCACTGTAAGTGAAGGCTGATGCCCGTAATCGTTCCCAGTCCAGTCGCTACTATGCCAGTAGGCTTCCGACCTGTTTAATAGCGTTAACTGAAATCTTCCTTCTGCTCCCGAGATTACAGAGAATTTCCCGGGAGCTGGATCATCTAAATCTCTCCAAGCCACCAAAACTGTCCGTTTAGACGTATGTGAACTATATACAAACTTGGCAACTGGCAACCACGTATCAGTGGGATGATCAAAACTCTGCCAAGCAACACTAGACACATCAGATGTCTTCCTTAAAATGAAGTTTCCATTGTCAAGGAGCACTGCTGAAGTCGAATTAGGCATGAGCGATGTCGAACCGGTCGACCAGATTTGATGCTTGGATGAAGCGAGTATGACTAAATTACCGTCCCGGAGGAGCTTCAACTCCGAAGAGAATGGGTCGGACACGGGGCGGTTCCTATTCGCAACCCAAACCATAGTCTTTTGAGGTAAACCTTTGTACCTAATGCCAATATAGTGGTTACCAGTGTTACCTGGTGAAAAGAAGCCCATCTCAAATGTTCCTCCATGAGAGATTAATGTATGGT